TAAAATCTTAAAATGCAGGGAAAAGACCAGTATGACATATGTATACCCAATGGAGTGAAATATTACAGGCCACACAGGCCTCCTACTCCTAAGGTAAGAAGAATCATGGCAGGATGACCGTTCAGGAATCATTTCCTTGATGAGTCGTCTATGAGCTCAGAAAGAGGCAAGAATCCTGTTAGCATTCGCTTCCAATGCTAATGAATGGCAGGTTCTCCCTGGTCTCTGACTAGCAATGGTCAAAGAGTTTCTATCGACACTTTACCTATAGAAATTTGGAGTTTCAACAAAACAAAAATGCTGATTAAAATCACCCATTTCGCCTGTAAGATGTCAACTTCTTGCATTAAAAAAAAAAAAAAAATGTCACACCACCAAAAGTGAGTAGTTCTTGTTTCCAGACTAAAAGCAAACATTTCTACCTAACCCCAATGTATGCTGATTTGGAAAAGTCACTGCAGTACCCCACGGGCAGTGTAGTTTGGTTGCCCCATAGCCTAGTTCTTCTCATTAGTCAGGTTCCCCTAATCAGACTACATCTCCCATGATTAGGGACCTTCCAAAAATCATGGTGGAAGTGGGCTGCGGGGCAGCTCCTTGATTCTTGCAGGGTCCCCCCCATGCACTCCCCCCACCAGTTGGTAGAGGGGCCCTAGGGAGCTAAAACTGTGGTTTTAAATATGGCTCCATTTTTGCCTCCTGGCCAGTCAGCAACAAGCAGGAGGGCCACTGGGCCCCCCCCAGGCAATCAGCAATGGTGGGAGGGGAGTGGGGTGCACAGGGGAACCTGCAAGTTTAAAGGAGCTGCTGCGCAGCCCACTTCTGCTGTGATTTTGGTAGGTCCCTACCCATGATGCAGCATGTCAATTCCCCAAGAGGGGGAGCTGTAAGACATCATGGGAGATGAAGTCCTGCTAAGGAGCCAAGTCCATACAGGAATCAAAATTTGGGACTCATTATAGCTTTTCTTCACTAAAAAGTGAAATTCTGAAAAAAAATATGTTTTGTTTTCAAAGTTTTCTGAAGAATGATGCACATTTTCCAAACAGCTCAACTCCTGACAACTTTCTTTCCTTACAGGGGACCTGGAGACTACTCCAGCTAAAGGCAGAGCTTCCCTTCATGAAGATAGAAAGGGAGTACAGCAATAGGGACAGTCAATAAGTTGTCAAAAAAAAAAAAAA